AATAAATGTTAGAGTAAAAGCCAAAAGGACAGGAAGTATTAAGTGGTGTTGCATTTTTAAGTAGGGTCGTCAGTGGAAGCTCACTGAAAAGATGACATCACACAGGCAAGCACGTTCCCACCTCAAGGCCTTTGCCCTTGCCATCACTCTGGAATGTTCTCCCCCTTGACTTGAAACGTTCTCCCACTGGTATTCCCATGGTGTGCCTCTTTGTGTCCTTTGGGCCTTTATAGAAAGGTTATCTTACAGTCCTCACTTTCGTGGCCACCTCTTTGAAATTACAACTCTCTTTCCCCTTCATTTTAACTACTGTTTTAATCATTTACCTCATTAATTGCTTGATTTCCTACACTGTTATCTCAACTCCATAAGGGCAACTTCATTGCTTGTTTTTTCTCTCTTGTATTCCCAGCTTCTAAAAATGGTTTTAGAAATATCCAGGCTTCCAAATTTTTAATTGGGTCAATATTGCTCATTCATGTTTTCTAAGAATTTGTGCCATTTAACTTTTCAAAATTATTATCAGGAAATTGTTCAAAATTGTCTCTTCTATTTTTTGCTAATCTTTTCTGTGCCCACAGTTAAGCCCCTATGTTTCTCCATACTGTTTCTTTGCACCTTCTCTCTCTCCTTAATTGCACCTTTGACATTGTTGGTTTTCTCTGTCATATCCTAAACACCTTTACCCATCCACTTTCTTACCAGAGGAATAATATTATCAATTTTTTAAAAATATTTTAATAGTTTATTTATTTTTAGAGAGAAAGGGAAATGGAGAGAGAGAGAGAGGGAGAGAGAGAGAGAGAGAGAGAGAGAGAGAGAGAGAGAGAGATGTGAGAGCGTAACATCAATTAGTCATTGAACCGGCAAGCTCATGGTGTACACAGGATGATGCCCAACCAATTGAGCCACACCAGCCAGGGCAATTATTACCACTTTTTTAATGGTATCGCCCTGGCTGCTTTGTGAGAATAGATTGGGTTAAAGGGTAGGAGCCACTTAACCAGTTTCAATAATCCAAATAGAGTCACCAGAACCAGGGTGGTCGTCGTGGAGATGGTGAGAAATGGTCAGATTCTGAATAAAATTTTAGGTCAGAGCAAAGAAGATTTTCAGCACTAAATATTGATTATGAAGGAAGGGGAGTCAGACATGGCACCAATTTGGGGACTGAGTAACTGGGAAATGGAATTCTCATCAGTTCAGACAGAGAAATGATAAAACAGATTTGACAGAAATGTGTCTGGATCACAGAAGGGAGGTACAGAGTGACTGAAATACAGCAGTAGCTGCTCTGGGACAGTCCTCTGTCCTCTGGACCAGCTTGGGCCGCACGTACTGACCTCTTTCTGGGCAAGAGAGATGTGTGAGTATCTGTGCAGTTACCTACAGACTCAAAGCAGGTTAAAACGTAGATATGTCAGGATAGAAATAGTTTGCCCCTGGCTTTTTTCTACAATGTAAACATTAATATCCTGCCCCAAAATTAATGTCATGTATGTCAACAAACACATATGACTTCAAACATTTTAATTTAGAGCATGAGAGCCTTTCATTCTTTCCTCCCATCAAGTGTTTCTCATAAGGCTTTAGGCTCTTTTTTTGCTTCTGTTTTCTCCAATTAATCCACTAAATCCTGATGTGGGAGAAACAATATTCACTTAAACATATCACTCTGGTGGACTAAGGTGTCTTACTTTTCAGTGAGTGACAGCTGTTGAGTATTTATTCTGCTATTGAGAAATAAACTAGGCTCTAGAATATATGGCATGAAATTGTTCACCTCTGTCTTTCTTTACAATTGACTAGAAATTGTGAAATTCATGTAAATCTTTATATAAATAAGTCTGTTGACAGTGAAAACCTCAGAAAACAAATCAAGGGAGATTCAAATTAATCTAAATAAATTACTCAAATTATGGAGTTCTATACAGTCTGCATAGAATACTTATAAACTTAACATGTGATATCTACGGGAAATTCCCTGTGCTTATTTGAAATCTTCCAACCATAAGGGTATTTTCATAAAATGTTGTAATATAGTCGACTTACTTTAGATGGCAAGCAAATATCACTTTATGATAGCTTGCATGCATTCAAAATAAAAAAAACCATAGCGTCTAATATTTTTTGCCATTAAAGGGTTAAATTAGTTGTGCTTAGTGTTAAGCTTTTAAAAACCAGCATATCTAAAAATTCCAGGGAGGAGGAAAATACCACCAAATCACTGTGTGTGGCAATCATGCCTTTTTCCTTTGGATCATGTACCTTTAAAACGTGTGAATGCATTGCTGTGCGAGTGGCATGTGTGTTTAAAAGATGCCATGATCGTTAGATGCAGCGCTAGCCGGGGCCTTGCAGACCAGCACGGGCTCCTGTGCGAGGGAAAGCCTGTGACAGGCGCCGGGCCGCATGTGGATGTGGCAACAGCATCAAATTGTCGAACACATTGACTCATCGGTGCAGGCTGCAAATTATGCTTCTTAGCCTCCTGTGAACATGTTGCCTCATTTTTTTATTATTTTTTTCTTAAATCGTATCTTAGGATCTGCTTCAAAACACAGATGCCCACAAAAGAGCCTTCCATGAAATCTACCGGACCCGGTCGGTCAACGGCATCCCAGTGCCACCTGACCAGTTAGAGGACATGGCCGAGAGGTAAGCAGATGTCTTAGATGAAGCCTCTTTGTAAAATGCTCGGTGAATGCTTTTTCATCGCTTTTCCTTTTTTTATGCATTTGTATTTTCTTGTTCAGAAAGGCTTACATTTGGTAGAGTAAAATTGGACTCGCATAACATATGCTTAAGCATGCCAGCATGCTAACATAGCATTAATTAAAGAGTTAACCTGCTTGTGTTCAGAGCCTGGAAATCACAGAACTGGTTTCTTCAGAGGCTGTATTTTTATTCAGGGCTGTGAGGAACATTATGTAATATTGCAAGAACAGTGTATAAAAGAAACAGATGAGAGATGCTGGCAGGGGAAGGAGCTATATCAAAGGCTTCACTCAATCCCGATTCGCCTTTAAACCCAGAGCCAGAAAAGGGAATCTGATCTCCAGATAGTGATCGATCAGCCAGAGTTTAGAAGACCTGGTGCCTGCATTAGGTTCCTCATGGACTGTGACAGGTTAAGTAAGCCCCGCTCTGTTACTTAGTGACATTCTGTGCATTCTCCTTGTTTTATTTCTAGGTTTCATTTCGTTTCCTCCACATCAGAACTGCACTTAATGAAAATGGAATTTCTAGAATTAAAGTACCGTCTGCTCTCACTGCTGGTTCTTGCAGAGTCGAAGCTGAAGTCTTGGATCATCAAATACGGGAGGAGAGACTCGGTGGAGCTGCTGCTGCAGAACTACATCGTAAGTGTCCCCGGGGCTGGGGTAGCGGAATCAGAGGGCCGGGGATGTCCCATTGAGTACCGGCCAGTGTAGCTGATGACTTCATCTTGGGTTGAAACATGAAGGGTTCCAGTGTGTGAAAGGGGCTCTATAGAAGTCTGTGAGCTATTCATTGCCATCTGAAATATACACCTGTAGTCTTCAGAGATATAAAAGATTTTGCTGCATTAACCATATTGAACCATTGTGACTGACTTTATTGCTTAAAAAAAGAAAAGTTTTTGCATTGTATACCCATGACTTTGACTGTGAGCTCACCATTGAAACAGAGTGAACATACTTAGAGGTTATCTTCTTGTCTTCTAAAACCCAGTCTTGGAGAACAATTCTCAATTGCTGTAAACATTTTTTTTTTTAGATTAGGTCCAGCATGTCTTTTTTATGGTTATTCCCTGAGCATTTTTGCTTCTTATGTGCACCTAGGAAAAGTAAAAAATTGTAAATCTCGGTACCAATTTAATTTTTAAAGATTATCTCATATTTTGGGTTATCAGTAAAGATTATCTCATATTTTAGGTTATTTAGATAGAATAGTAGTTCTGTACTAATGAAGGTATTAGGTTGTTCTATAACTAGGAGTTTCCATTTACATGTAATTAGAGAATTATAATTATCAAAGGCAGCTTATTTCTCTTAAACACCCACCCCCCAAATTTATTAAAAATACAAATTTTCTCACGAAAGAAATGTTAATAGAACATCTCAGTTCTGACTTGTTCCATTGATGTTTATCACAAATTCTAAATAATAAATTCAAAATGTAGGCCCATATTTTACCTACCAGTCACAATAACTGTGTAATTGACATGATTGATACTTGTTGAAACCATGTCTTTATTGAAGAAGCATCCTAGAACCATAAAATATTTTGCTACATTTCAATTTCATTTTCTAAGTGATATATGAACAACATGCATTTAGGGAGGAAAAGGTTTAACAGGTTTGTGGTAAAATATTTCTTTTGATTTAATTTATTGTCTCAGAAATAATTGTCAAAATGTGAACTCTGTTGTATGTTCCCTTATTCATTTTTAATTATTTTGAAAAGCAATACAAAAATCTATATTTTTTAACTGCAAGTACTTACATCAGACTTTTTTTAAAAATTTCTTTATTGGTTAAGGTATTACAAATGTGTCCTCATCCCCCCCTTACATCAGACTTTTAAATATTAAATACAGATATGTATTTATGTATTTGGGTTTAGTCATATAAATGATACACTCTGGACTCAGTAGGTAATTATTCAGGATTCGTCTTTTTCCAGCTATTTAAGGACGACCAGTCAGATTGAAATGCCTAATAGGAGTGTTGCACCAGGTTAATGTTCAACACAACGATGTTAGTAATTCTCTTTGACTTCCTCAAGTAAAAGGTTTGTGAGTGGAGAGTTGTTACCAATGATTTAAAAAAAAAGCAGTATTTTCTGCCAGTCCATAAAGTTCACCATACAGCTCATTTTGAACTGCTTTCTAAGTCAGTCATTTGTAAAATTGCTAGTTACTCTACAAACATAGCAGGTTTCAATGAACATGTCCTGATATTCTTATGCCCTGTGAAAAGACCTATTTATCACTCATACTATTTCCCAAAAAGGGTTTTACAGTATTTTTTAACAGTTTGAATAACTTTGGAAGACTGAAAATTTGTCATTTGCCAAGGGTTTTCATTTTGTTTCACCAAGGAAACAAAGACGGCACGCTTAAGTCACATGCTCCGGTGGCCTAGTTGGTAAGGAGTGGAGTCAGGATTTGAATCCATCTCTTTCCTACTCAAAAGCCCTTGTGCTTAAGCAGTAAACTTTACTAACAAAATTGTCTGTGAGAAAATAATTTTTAACTTTAATAGACCAAATCATCAAAATGATTTCTTATAGCTGAAAGAACTAAAGAATTGTAACTCACATAAATATTAGTTCCATTTAGTATTGGTCCATATTGACAATATTTTCACTTTCATACTGTAGCCTGATAGTTCCTACTATTTCTGTTATAGGCAACATGGATTTAGGGCAGGGTGAGGTCAGACGGGGGACCTTAGGGAAGCTTGGCCACCAGTCACACAGAAAGGTGTTGAAGCATGCCTAGGTCCTTACTACCATGTCACTTTATAAATAGCTTGATTCTAGAAGACTCACTTTTTCCTAAATCTATATATACAAAAGCCTAAGCAATCGTTTGACCGTTTGACTGGTAGCTATGATGCGCACTGACCACCAGGGGGCAGACACTCAACACAAAGGCATGGAAACAGGGAACTGACTGATGAATCTCAGAGGGTAGGGGGGAGGGCGGGAAGAGATTAACCAAAGATCTTATATACATACTAGAGGGCCAGTGCATGGATTTGTGCACCGGTGGGGTCCCTTGGCCTGACCTGAGGGGATCAGGCCAAAACCAGCAGTCCAAAATCCCTCGAGGGGTCCTGGATTGCAAGAGGGCACATGCCAGGCTGAGGGACCCCACCGTGCATGAATCCATGCACCAGGCCTCTAGTTTAATAATGATGATAATAATAAAAATAATAATAATAGGAATGTTCTAAGGAACAAAGACTGACACACACTGTTTTACTTCTATCTGACACCCCACAGACACTCTCTTATCCTTTTGGAGTTTGGAGGAAAATCACTCTCTTTAAAACAGACTATTTCAAAGAGTATAAAGACTTTCAAGTAAAATTAGAAATCAGGTTCTCAAATATAATCCTTTCCTTGTTTTCTAAAAATAATTTACTGTAGTGAACCATATGCTGCAGTATCACCTAATAACCAAAATAATATCCAGGATGTAAAATTTCCATAATTATCTTTGCCTTAGTCTGAATTCTCAATTAAATCTTTTAAAAATTTATTTTTCGCCGAAACCGGTTTGGCTCAGTGGATAGAGCGTCGGCCTGCGGACTGAAAGGTCCTAGGTTCGATTCCGGTCAAGGGCATGTACCTGGGTTGCAGGCACATCCCCAGTAGGAGATGTGCAGGAGGCAGCTGATCGATGTTTCTCTTTCATCGATGTTTCTAACTCTCTATCTCTCTCCCTTCCTCTCTGTAAAAAATCAATAAAATATATTTTAAAAAAATACATTTAAAAAAAACAATTTATTTTTCAATTAAATTGGGCACACCCCACACCGGCGATCTAGCCCTCAATCTGGGCATGTGCCCTGACTGGGAATTGAACCATGACCTCCTGGTTCATAGGTCAATGCTCAACCCCTGAGCCACGCTGGCTGGGCCTAATTTGTACTTCTTAATCCCTTCACTTTTTTCACCCAGTCTCTCAACCACCTTGTTCTCTGGCAACCATCACTTTCTATTGAGTCTGTTTTTGTTTTGTTTGTTCATTTATATTTTGTTCTTTAGATTCTGCATATAAATGTTCATTGCATTATTTACATTAACCAAGATATGGAAACAACCCAAGTGCCCATCAATAGATAAGTAAATAAAAAGTTGTGTTGCAAATACATAATGGAATATCACATGGCCATAAAAAAGAATGAACTCTTACCATTTGCAACGGCATGGATGGATTTAGCGGATACTATGCTAAGTAATATAAGTCAGACAGAGAAAGACAAATACCACATGATTTCACTTATATGCAGAATCTAAAGAACAGAATAAAAGAACAAACAACAGAAACAGACTCAATTCAATCTTACTCATCTAAAAAAAAGATACTTTTTTTAAAGGTTAGAAAATTAGAGAATGTGCTTTCTATTACTTCTTGTACAAGGTACATGGCCTGCAGCTGGTAAGTACTTAATATATTCCAGGAAAATACTTCACAAATGCTTGTTGAATAATTTAGGCTACTGATAAAAGATTACATAATATAATGAAAATCAGAAGATGACCGATTTGGTTCTTGCTCTCAGAATTGGTCTTAATATGTACCACTTAGAATAACACATGCTTCACTTTTACTCTGGAAAAAATAGGATAAATTTTGTTCTTTCACATAAAATAAAAGAAGAGCTCTTGGAACTTTGGACTATGTGAATGCAACATAAATAACATGAACATTTATTTTATTGTTTATGATTATTTTATTAATGTACATAGACAATTCTGATGAAACCACTCCTCAGAATTGATTTTTAAAGTCTTAAATTATCTGGCTTAGCTCCCTTTGAGTGAAATTGATGAGCCTTTTATTTCTTATACCTATATTTATCTTGTGTGAGAGTAGAAATACAGTCTTTTCCACTAAGACTTTGATTTTAGTGGCACAAAGAGGTATCTTATTTTTCTTTAAATGTCTACTGACTAATGCGGCTTATTTGTTCAACTTGACATCCAAATGTAAACCTTATTTTGAAAGAAATACAGGAATCCTGTTGCTATTATTTTAAACACGCATTTGTGTTTACTTTTGCAAAATCTGAGAGATTGTCTCTAGATAGCTCACAGTAAAAAGGTTTGGCACTCTTCCTGCTAAAGTAATCCTAACAGACGAAATAATTCATATTAAAAAGTGGATTTACTAAATATCCAGAAAAAAGAATCAAGATAAATGAAACAATTCAAAAGTAAAATAACAAAGAAAGCATTGTCCTCTAAAAATTGTTTAGCTTTCCTCATGGGAGCTGAAAAAAACTTTAATAAAACTCTACAGTATTAATAATATTCTTAAAACATTCCCTTTTCTCCCTCCCCCCCCCCCTTTGACCAGAAATGAAACTAGAAAAAACTTTTCTCTCTTCTTCATTTTCAATTTGTTTGTAAACTGCTCCAGCAAAAGCCTAATTAAGTCTTTCTGTCCAGTAGAGGCACGATTTCCCATTTCTTTGGCACTTGGAACAATTTTCCCATTAGCTTCTTGAAGTTTTTGCCCAAACTAAAAGCTGTTTTTAAAACTTTCCCAGAGATATTTATCTTTTCAATTTCTTACAGTGTCTTGAAGATTAGGTGTAATTTTCCTTTAAAAAAAATCAAATCATGACTTGCTTACTTGATTAAGTTACTAAAAATGTAAATTACAGTAAATTACTTTTTCTCCAGTTGCGGGGCAGGGAGAGGTTAAAAAAGTAGCATATCAGGCTAACTAACGAGTCAACCAGACTATTGTGGAATTACTTTATTCTCACACAAAAATAATGAAGCCTATTAAAATTATTGAATAAAGTATTCATCATAGGGCCCCTCATTCTAAGCAACTCACAGCTTGCTCTCTTTACCATTTCCCTGGAGAACAGTTAATATGTAAGTAAATGCTTTTACACATAAGATGATATGAAACGTATTATACAGGTAATTTTTAAATGTTACGATGAAATATGATAAATGTTTATCAATAAAATCTAGGGATGACTATGCAATTGCTGTCTGAGTAGTTTTGCACCTGCACACAAGCATTTTGCATCTTCTTATTAAGCATCCATCAGCCTACTATTGAGGACTTCAGCTGGTTTTTGAAGGTTAATTTTGCATTTTATTATAATGACATCAAGTATTTCAGTGAGTTCCAATCATACGACCTAATTGTGCTGTTAAGAGAATTTAAAGAGCTTTTGGTGATATGTTGTTACCTGTAATTACATCAATTTCCTACTTTGGAGAAGTAGGAATAATCTTTGAAACAGGAGCTATTTCATATTTATGGGAGTTAACTGTTGTAAAACTTACCTAAGGATTTGTTGTGTGTTCTCAATTTTATATTATCCATTTGCTGATAGCAACTCTATTACACATGTAAATTACATACTGACATAGGCATGCCTTATCTGTAATTTTTATACTAAGAAATAGAAATTGGAGATCATGGATAACATGGGTGGAATGTGAGATTATTAAACATTTTTCTACTTATAAACATTTTTGTACTTATTCTTTATTTTAAGGGAAGTATGCAATGTGCCATTTATTTATAATCTGAAGTTCCTTGGAGCAATCATTCACCAGAATTATGGTTCAAAAAGCAACAGAATTTCACTGCTACACCCCAGTGGGGCACTCGATGATGTTCTTCTAAATTTAGTGCTTTCTAAATGTTAGCCTCAGGTCCCCTGAAGAAACATCTAAAAACAAACCCTTGGGTAGAGAGGAAATAGAACATTTTCTCAGTCTAGGGGTGAGTTAGAATTCAAAGTGTGGAAATACTTTATATTCTCAGAATAATTAAGTTATTTATGGCAGTTGAATTGATTTGATATTTTTAGGAAGAAGGAGGTTGGTAAATTGGGGGAGCATATTCCCATACTGAAGAAAGTTGGGTTTGTCATTTCCACCTAAGCCAGTATTTGTTATCTTCTAACTATTCCTCCTTTTCTAGACTTTTATAGAAAATAGCAAGTTCTTTGAACAATATGAAGTGACATACCAGATCTTGAAACAGACAGCAGAGATGTACGTCAAAGCTGATGGTTCAGGTAAAACTTGTGACAGAATTTGTTTCAGTGTTGAATACAGGAAAATTTAGGAACTACAGATTTCTATATGAAAAAATACAGATTTCTATATGAAATCATTTTTTGTTCTCTTGTGGAATCTT